TCATGACCTTGATGCGCTTCCATGAAGTGAATGAGCTCCTAGGCTTATTCACTATGTATAATTTTAATAGTATGAATATATATATTTTTGCTTTTGTGATCGTGAATGATAAATGTTGAAATGTGGGGAGTAGATATGGTGGTTGAGATGGTTACGATGTTGTTTGTTTCATTTTATGCATTGCTCGCACTTATAAAGGAAGAAGAGCTACAAGAGACACGTAGCAAAGAGTGTTTGCATTTGCTACAAATGGCAAAGAACAAAATAAAACACAAAAAAATCATAAGATTTATCTATCGTCATGCTTTCCCTCCTACATAAAAAATTTTCATGGACAATATTGTATTTATAGTATGTATTTGTCGGCCACACGATATTTGTTGTTTTATTTGTTTCTTGAAAAGACCATTATTTTTTGAAGGAAATAAAGACTATGAAGTCACATATGTGTTATACGAAAATTGAAACGTAAAATTTCTCGATATCATATGCCCTTTAAGCGAGTTGAAGCTTTTATCTATTGTTGAAGTGTTCTACCATTGAGTGATTATTTTGACATGAGAAGTAATTTTGACCATCACAAACAAGATCATTTTGAAGCATCTTATGTTTTTTTTTAATGACTTCCACGCAGAACAATTTTGTCCTTGTGATCTTTGTGCTTGATTGCACTAGTTTTTAAAGAAGATTTTTACAACCGAATGGTCAAATCTTTCCATTCAGTTAAAGACTGTTCACCACCCTCCCTATCTCTTTATTTTTCACTCTCTATTTTAGAGTTCTCTTGTCCAAGGTTTCTTAGGGATTCTCTGTAGATTTAGGGATTTGAGGGAGTTTATACAATGTCATTCCTTACTTCCATTAGTGAAGCTTGAGATGATGTACTAAAGCGAGGGACTAAATACGGGTTATAAGTTCAGTTTTATCCAGAAAAGCGATAGATATGAAGTTTTATTGACGTCCCTAGAATACTACAAAGAACTCGTGGTGGTTTCTCCATCGGATACACAATATTTATTGCCTTATTTCTGGTCCATTGTGTAATACCCTAAATTTTATGGATGGCTTAGACGCAAAGTTTGATAACTCAAGGACTACATTTGAATTCTTTCAATTACTGAAGGACCAAAGTAAAAAAAATTGATAAATAAGATTTTGTTGGAAGGGTTTTGGCGCAAACGGTCCCTAACATTTGCGCTTCAAACATTTTTGGTCCATAACCTCCAAATTTTGGCGGAGATACCCTATACAAGGGTGCCATTAGTTTTGTGCATGGACTTTACGATCCTTTTTTTTTCTTTCATAGCACGGAAAATTTTGTCGAACCAAAAGAATATAAGTTGAAAGTAATATAAAAAAAGAAAGAAAAGAATTAAAAATAAAAAAGTAATCATTTGCACCCACCCACGCACTCATCCATACACAACACACTACAACCACCATTGAACTCTTTCACGAGTTGTGAGGTTCAGGGTTGTAATCTCCCCGAATGTGTCATTTAAGGGGAGGTTTTTCACCCTTGATTTATGTTGTCCATTTAATTTTATTTACAATGCGAGCATATAATAATATATTCTCACTCAGAAAAAGAGAAATAACTTTTGTACATTAACAATTATGAGTGCGTCACCCTGTATATTATACCTCTCTCCTTAACAATAACACTCTTGAAAACGAAGCACTTTAATTGAACTTCCTCATTTGTAACAAAATCTTTCTTAATTACAACAAAAGAGGTTCATAATTTATAATCACTTAAAAAAGGTTCACAATAATTTTTCTTGATTAAACTAAAATTTAAGTGATTATAAATTGTAAACCTATTTTATTGCTGGGATTTAGTAAATTGACCTTACCTACAAGTAAAGATTGAGGAAGCCTCAGCCTCTTTTGTTGTGGAGATTTAATCCCTGCTTCCCACCCATTATTTGATATTATAATTTTTCGAATAATGTCATTTTGAAGAATGTGTGGTTGGAAAAGATGAAAAAGTTTTTTATTTATGTGTAATATTATTTTATTGAAGAATGCGTGGTTAAAAATAAGAGAGATAAAAATGTATTATAAATTAATCGGCCAAACGGGGCTTAATGCGATTTCTATTTTATAAAAGTTCCATAGCAATTCAACATTTGAGATAGCTGCCTTATTTTTTTGTCTTATAGTTTATAATTTTTACTTATTTTATAAAATTTATTTAACTACAGTAACAGTCATTTTAGTCTTTCTATTAAAAGTTCGACCTTTTTAATAGTCAATTGAATGAAAACCATCTAAAAGGTTCGATTGAACCTATTTAGTGAAATGCTAAGAATATCCTACATCAAGATTTGAAGGTTGGACACCATTTGTACAAAAACTCTATAGTTTAGGGACCATTTACGCCAAAAAGGTTATGCATGTGACGATCACGTGCACAACAAATGGGAAATCAGACGAAAAGTGTCAAAAAAAGATGATTTGCGTACTAAGTTGATAGATTAGGGGTGATTTGTACATTGAGCCAATAGGTTAGGGATGTTTTGCGCTAATTTCTCCGCCAAAATTTAAAGATTAGAAACCAAAAATGCACTAAGGGAAAAGGTTAGGGACCATTTGCACCAAAATCCCTCAAATTAAGGATGAACCTAAAGTTTATTAGTGACAATATGAGTCATTTGAGGACTGAATAGCAATTTATGACTTAATTGAAACATTTAAAAAGCTTAAAAACTAAACTGCAATTTCTAAAAGTTGCATGTCTATGAACTTCATACTTGAGATATAGTCTTAAGGATGATCATAAGATGGTATTTGAGCTTTCAATGCAATGCTGGCAAGTTTTAAGATCAATTTGTAATTTTGCAAATTTCAGAGACTAAAGTGTAATTCAAGAATATTCTGAATTGAGATTTTTCTAGACAAATATAATTTTTGAGATTCAAAACTTGTGACAGAATATATTTGGTTTAATTTGGGAATTTTTGGAGACTCTAGAATTGTGTCCAGGTTAAGTTTTCGAATATTGAGTTTTGAATATGATGATGTCATTTAATATGCAGCACGTATAAAAAAAATGTTGTGTTAACCACCCATCGAAATAACTTTTTTCGTTTGTTTTTTCCTCCTAGTTACCTCCCATGGCTGACCCCTTCTCCTTTTCCGCACCGAATTTATTTTCTTATCTTTATTCTACAAATCAAATAACCAAGAATAGGAGAAGAGTCGATATCACGTTTGGCGGCAAGTTTTAAATATGGAAGATTTTTGCAAATTAATCAACAACGTAGTAATATTAAAAATGTAAAAAAAATTACAAAAGTTTTCTACTAGTTGTCATACTTTAAAAATAATGTGTAGTAATATCATTATTAAACAAGCTATCATTCATCCATCGATTTCCAATTCGATCCTTCGTCGATTCTTCACATGTTCATCCCAAGAAATGTTCTTCCAATTGTAGCAATAGCAACTGGAATAATTAATGCTAAAGCCACAAACCTTTAAATTAAGATGTAGACTTAATATTGTTAGAATTAATATTGCTAGCCCCATCATAACCTTACTTTTGAATCTCAATATACTCACCCATATCCAGATCATAATTTATCTATGGCGTCATTAAGTGATAGATTTGTGGTACTAAAACGTATTCATAGTTGTAATACAATCAATCATATGTTGAGTTAATTGTGACAATTGTGAAAGATTGTCAGATTGAATCGATGCTCACGAATTTAATTTATGAAAAAAAATTAAGAAATAACTCTAATCGAAGATTTGACACTTCAACGACACAAATTCTCTCGTTCAAATCCAAAATTACTATATTGAACTTAAAATCGAATACATCTTTTAATTTCAATGCACGGTAATATAACTTCAAATATAGGATGAAAATGAACGTGAGGTGATTTGATACCATGTAAATTTTGTTCCTTTCATTGGTTCGTAAACTCATCTCCTTCACTCTATCAGACGCTCACTCAAAGTACTCCAATTAATCTACAACTTCTCAACAATGGAATTGAGCTACACCCTAACACCTCAACCCATCTCTCTGAGCACATAAACTCCAATATGTTTGTCACTCTCTCTTCGTAGCGTTCGATCTTCGCATAGTGTATTACTTAGCTCTGGCCACGATCTTAGGCCGTACAGTATGTTTCTGTTTCCAAAGAAAATAAACAATCCAAGATTTAAATTTCATACTCATGCTCATAAAATTTTCATTCTATTGATATTATGAGGGGTAGTCATGTAATAAACTGTCGTGCTTTTTCCTTGTAAATGAATGTTTTTATAAATGAAAAAATTCTAAATCTAAGGGTAATTGTCCCTACTAAACATTTGTCTATCGTGTCTAGGAAGATTGTTCCCTCATTGAAAAAAGACTAGGCGTGTCTTTGTATGTTGACGGATCCACAACCGACAGTTTTCTTTTGTTTGGCCGAAGTCGTACATGTGAATGGAAGGAGGTTGTGGCAATGCTTTTCTTTTAAGCCTAGTTCAACCAATTCTGAATGAATTAGTGTTTTTCTTCTCTTTCGATCTTTCTCCCTTTTTCAATAGAGAGAACTTTAATCTAGCTAAAAAAATTTGTATCACCAATCAAGAAAGTAAATGATAAAGAATTTGAATTACATCCAGCTGTAAAGCAACTTCCCAATACAAAATGACGAGACAATAAATAGAAACAAACTTGTATGCCACGTTTCATTTCGCTCTTTGCCATTTGTAACAAATGCACACACTTTTTGCTAGATGTCTCTCTTAGCCGTTCTTCATGAACAAGTGCAAGCAATGCACAAAATGAAACAAATAACTTTGTAACCATCTCAACCACCGCATCTGCTCCCCACATTTCTATGTATTTTCATTTAAGACCCACCAAAAAGCGAAAATTATAATTGTACCCCCATAAAATTACATTTTTCGCTTTGTTCTTACAGTCTGCACATATATAAATATACTCTCTCTCTTCTCTCTCTCTATCTACACATCGAAGAGAAGAAGGGGAAATGGTGTCGACGAGGCGAAGTGGATCTCTACCGTCTAATACCAAAAGACCAGCCTCTCCTTCCGAAGATAATAATGATAATCCTTCTTCGCCGAAGCGTCCAAAGGCAATCTCTCTCTGTCTCTCGCGCGCACACTCACACATACACATTGTTTTGATTATTTGTGAATTCAAAGTTTTTTGATTTTTTGTTGTACAGGCGGAGAGCATAAATAATAATGATTCGAAGACAGAGGAACCTGTGCCGGCGGAGAATCCAAAGGAATTAAGCTCGACTGATCCGCCGGAAGTACCTGATGCTGCTGCCGTCAACACTTCTGCTACGGTGGCGTCGGTGGCTGCTGTCACTCCAGTGGCTGTGGAAGGTTGGTTTATGTTTAATTCGTCTGGAAATTTACGGAAAGTTGAGTGTTTTGATATGTGCATGTAAGTAAATGCTAAAATAATTGTGGGTTTTTTTGGGAAACTTTGAATTTCAGGGGCTACGGCGGCTACAGGGAATACTCCGAGGAGCTCTTTTACTTCGTGGAAGCAGCTCCAAGCTTATGAAATGACAAGCCCATGGTCCAGCCTTCTCACCCAATCCCCGCAGGTGAATTCTTTATGGTTCTTTATTTGATTGGTTTTGATGTTAAAGTGGAGATGTCGGTGTATTGTATGTTTTAATTTGGCATTTGTTAGTTGTCGTCTTGCTTGGCGTCAGCGATTGGTTGTCGTTGATTTCGTTAGCGGTTGGTTGTCGTGTTGCTTGCGTTACCCGTTAGTTGTTGTGTTGCTTGCGTTAACCATTACTTGTCGTGTTGCTTGCGGTAGTTGTTCGATATAGTGGGTGTTTGGTGGAGATTAAAATTAGATTTTTAGTAGATTGTGATAAAAGTTTTTGAAATGTGTGGTTGAAAAGCCGTGAGATCATGAAAGATGTGGTTAATATTGATTGTTTAATTTTGATTTAGATTAAAATCTGATTTTAATCCGAAACAAATAGGGCCATAATATATCTAGTTTGGGACTTCCGACATAAAAGCCTATCTGGTTTTCTGCACTATTGCACAATATTTGTATTGAGTTGTAGTTAAGTGGAAATGCATTTATTGCTTCTAATCTAAATGCTGAATTTAGGTTTGGATCTTTTCACGGGTTTATAATTTAGTGAGTTAGAGCAATTTGTCCATTTGTTACAGAATTCGACCGTTTTCATTAAAACGACCAATTTCTTGGTGGGCTCGAGCAAGCAAGCGAATCTTATGATCAAGGATCAAAACGTCAGCACGATTTTGTGTTCCATAAGGCTAACTAAGGTATAGCCAATATCTCAACTCATTAACGTTATCTTTATTTTGAGTTTCATGTGTTGTCTTGCAATATGCACCGACACAGTAAATAATTTTAGTATTGGGATATCTGTGGATGCATTAATCAGTTGCTTCTTATGAATATGCATATGCTGTAGGCTTGAACCAGTAGCTGTGAAAACGATTTCCTATAGACGCACAACCACATGCATAGTTTTATTTGCGTGTAATATAGTTTTGATCTATTTTTTCTGGAGATAAATTCCAAGTTTTTCACATGCAATTGAGTACTTATTGTACGTGGAACATGATCAGCGTGAGGATAAATCTATTGCTGTGCTTGAAAGTTGGGGAAGCAAAGGATGTGTGCAAGTCAATGGAAAGACAATTAAGAGAGACACTAGTTGTGAACTCAATTCAGGAGATGAAGTGATCTTCGGCTTTCTGGGGAGTCATGCATATGTATCCTTCTCATATATGTGTCACTGTTGCCTGCCAATCTCTTCATTTTCATGTTGAAGTTTTGTTTTCTACTGTTTTGTGTAATATCCTCAATGCCCATCCATATAGATTTTTCAGCAGCTGCATTATGAGCATATAATAAAGATGCCTCCACCAGATGATCAGAATAACAAAGGAAAGTTGATACATGGTGAAAGACGAGCAGGAGATGTGTCAGCTGTAGCTGGTGCTTCAATTTTGGCATCGCTTTCAAACTTGCGGCACGATTTGTCTCAAATTAAGGCTGCATCTCTGGCATGTGGTAAAAAGTATGGAGGGAGTGAGCTACGCTCTTCCCCTGTTGTAAATGAAGATGAGCTTGATGGCCAAGAAGTCAATTCGGCTACAAAGACAGGCTCTGAAGCAGCTGCTAATGTTGGAGCATCCAGCAAGATCCTCCCTCTTGATGGCAATCTAGAATCTGGCATAGAGGCAAGAAAATTAAAGTTCTGGTGAATTTTTTTTTTTCTGAACTTTATTAATTAATTTAGTTAATTTGGCTCATAAATGAGGGCTGACCCAATCTTTCTAAGCAGGAAGAAAGAGACTGGATTAGGGATCCGATGCCAACATGTCTATCCGGGACGTGTGCAAGAGCTTCAGCCTTTAGAGAAGACATACTTGCTGCAATTCTCCATGGGCAACACCTGGAAGTTTCATTCGATAACTTCCCATACTATCTGAGGTATGGTCCTCCATTGTATTTAGATATTTTTTACATGGTTTCATTTTTACCCGATTCTGTTCAGAAGGATTAATATTCATTCTTGAAGGATTTCATGTCCATAGTGCCATTGTTTTCTATAATCTGACCTTGTTTTCATATACTTAAAGAGTGTTCTTTCCACCATTGTAATCCCAAGATATTGATTAAATGCTGATTTCTCCTTGTGAACGTATACACTGCGGATAGGCAAATGCATGCCCATGTTAATCTGTGAATGTATGTATATTCGACTTGCAGCGAGAGTACAAAAAGTGTGCTGGTTGCCGCTTCATGTATTCAACTGAAGCACAAGGAGCAAGTTAAATTTACATTGGATCTTCCTAATCTGAACCCGAGAATCTTGCTTTCCGGTCCTGCAGGTCTCTGAGCATCTGTACATCAATTGTCTCACAATGTGCTCATCTCCTCTAAACACTGATTTTAAATCTTATTTTCAGCCTTCTAACAAATTTCATTTGCTATTCAGGATCTGATATATACCAGGAGATGTTGGCAAAGGCACTTGCTCAATATTTTGGGGCTAAATTGCTTATTTTTGACAGCCAAACATTTTTGCGTGTAAGATCAGATCAAATCAAGTTTATTAATAATACTAAAATATTTTCTAAGCTCTGTTTTCAGTAATATTTTTAAGCCATATTTTGTCTAAGGATGTTCATCTTCTAGGATTTAATTACACATAAGATGTTTTCAAAACTTAAAATAGTAACAAAAGCAAGATTTTCTGTTTACTTCAACAATAGAGAGATATTTGTTATTCCAACTTATCTTGGCTCTGTTAATTTGTTATTGTGTCAGCTTCGAAGTCACAGATGACTGAATGAAGCAATTATTTCGAAATATTTCTGTAGAGAGCAAATTTCAAGGCAAATGTTGTCACTGGGTTTTATCTTAGCCTTTTACCTTTAATTTTCCCACCATTTTATTGGTTTCACATTTGTTTCATCGAAAGATTGACATAGTGTACTAATCAATTTTGTATTTTTATATCAGAGTTCTTCCAAGGACACTGAGCTATCAAGAGATGGACATAATGCAGAAAAAGTCTGCAGTACCACCAATTGTGTTCCTGTTTCTGTAGAGCTGGGTAAGGGCATAGGAATTTCAGCTGGTGAAGCAGATATCCCCAATTTTTCATGTGCTCACCTTGCCTGTGAGCCACAGGAAGAATTGGAAACTGACAACATGCCCTCTTCATCGGGTGCAGCCAAGAAACCTTTGTTCAAATTTGGTAAATAGCTTATTTTTGTTATCATGGAGGTGATCATATTTGCTTCTCATGTTACATTTTCTCTCTTTTCTTGAATTTCTGAGTACTGAAAATTGTTTAGGTGATCGAGTCAAATTCATCGGTCCAGCTTCTGGAGGTTTATATTCAAGTTCTGCCAGGTAACAGTGATACCCTTCTATGCCTTTCTTTCTTTGCATTTTTTTTTGGTTGGCAGAACTGGTTGTTGATTCTTCCGTAATTCTTTCCATTCTACCATCAGATTACTAGCTATAATTTAAAAATCTAGATCAGCTAATTGATTTCAGATGGCATTTGCACCAGTGGAGATTTCTCGATTACAGAGTGGATCAAATCCTGAGTAGTAAAATAGGGGGGGGGGGGGGGGGGGNTAATACGACATGATAGAATTACCCCCCTCCCCCCCTCTGGTTCTAGTGTGGGCCATGAATTAATCATCCAGAAGGTCTAGTGTTTTTTATTTGAGAAACAACAAATCTAGATTTTAGGTTGTATGTTAATTTGAGCTATTGCATTAGTTACTTTGCTGCCATTGGCACTAGGCTCTTGTCAAATGACTGCAGAAGTAGAATATACACGTTAAAAACATATTCTTCTGAAAGTTACTTTGGCATCTTATATAGGGTCTGTGAGGTAATTTACTTCTTGTTTTGTTTTAAAGGGGATTGATCTTTTATGATTAGATCCGTTGTACTTCAGTGCACCATTTTCTGGAACTTTTTAGTATAATCTTACAACAGAAAAGGTGCATTATGAGTTAACCCTATGTTTGAGAAATAACACTTTTTAGCTGCGGCTTTAGGGGCCCAACTCCTGGAATGCGAGGAAAGGTTCTGTTGCCTTTTGAAAATAATCCTGCATCAAAAATTGGTGTTAGATTTGATAAACCCATACCTGAAGGAGTTGATTTTGGGGGTCTCTGTGATAATGGTCAAGGATTCTTCTGTAACGGTAATTTCAACTTTCCTATTAATTTTAATTTCTTTTGCATGTGAGATAGGTTTCTTGTAATTTATTTTGCAGCACGGAAATTCTTTGGTTTTCTTGTTCTTTACACCTGATTCTCTCTCTCTCTCATGCTCCTTTCTCAAGCCTATGATCTTCGGTTGGATACCTCTGGTGTGGAGGATCTGGAAAATTTACTTATTAACACAATGTTTGAGGTCGGATTCATAAATCTTTCAGAATCAGTGTGCTTCTTATGATTTGTTCTCTCTCTTAAATTTTTCATCATATCTTGATGAAATTTCCATCTGCCTTTCAGACCGTATTTGATGAGAGCAGAGACTCTCCTTTCATTTTGTTCATGAAAGATGCTGAGAAGTCGATGGTGGGAAATTCAGAATCATATGCTATATTTAAGAACAAGCTGGAGAAGCTTCCTGACAATGTTGTCATTATTGGTTCACACACTCAAACTGATAATCGGAAGGAAAAGGTGAAAGTCTTCTTTTCTGAGAGACACTGGTTCATTTTTTGTTCATTTCTGGGATACATTCTGTTCAAAAGAGTCTGTCCTCTTGCTGGTTAGAATCTGCAAGTTTTGGTATTAAAAATTTATTGGCTTTTAACATGTTGTGATGTCTAAGCACATCTCATTGGAATCCCTTCTAATTTAGAGCATGAATTTAAGTATGTTTCTCCTTGTGCAGTCACAACCTGGTGGTTTGCTATTTACAAAATTTGGCAGCAATCAAACTGCGTTGCTTGACTTAGCTTTCCCTGTAAGAATCACCTGCCCATTACTTTTTAAATTTTTGAATAGTACCTCCTGCATTGTGCTATTTGTTTGTGCATTGACAAACAAAGTAACACTTCATAGCTCCTGCCAATGATGTTCACGTCTCGTGGCTAATACAGTGAATTCAGTTAATATAGTCACTTCATAGCTCCTGCCCACGATTGCTACTTGCATTACTGGCTTCATATAATTTAATTTTGATCACCTCAGGATAGTTTTGGGAGATTGCATGACAGAGTTAAAGACGTTACAAAGGCAACTAAACTTCTGTCAAAACTTTTTCCTAATAAAGTAACCATACACATACCTCAGGTTTGTTCTTGAGATTCTGCAGTGTGTTGGTGATTTTCCATTTAAACTATGTGATGAGATTAACATAACATTGCAGGATGAAGCACTGCTGGCCAGTTGGAAGCAACAATTGGAACAAGATGCTGAAACCCTAAAACTGAAAGCAAATCTGAACAATTTACATACTGTGAGGGATTGTTTTCGTCATAAAAGATTCATTTTAGTGTTTTTCATATTTGTGAGATCGTAATTGTTATTCCTCTTGATAATGATTTCACTAAGCACGCTGGATTGTCCCCAGACATGGATTTTTCATTTTTATTTTTTTTAGTTGAGAAACTCTGCTTTTGTCCTGCTAGTCCAGCCGGTATTTTCTCTGAGCAAATGCTTTCGTATCTTTATGTATAGGTTCTAAGTCGTAATGGTTTGGAGTGCGGCGGACTTGAAACATTGATCATCAAAGACCTAACACTTACTAATGAGAGTAAGAATTTCTTTTAGACCTGCTATATTAGATGCCAAGTTTACTATATTGTCATTTGATGACAAATCTACGACATTCATTGAGTGGACAAAGTTGAAAATATAGTTTTTTGAAATTTGTGAAGGTGCAGAGAAGGTTGTTGGATGGGCTCTAAGTCATCATTTGACGATGAACCCTGAAGCTGTTGCAAATGCATGGCTTGTTATATCTGAGGAGAGGTAATAGAAGTAGCCACTCATTTTTTATGGTTGGCTGGATTTTAATTAATGGGAACTAAATTGGTAAGACACCCATGTAGCAGCATTCGTTATGGCATTGAACTACTACACGCCGTCAATAATGAACCGAAGAACTCGAAGAAATCTCTAAAGGTGATACTCGCATTGCTGTCATCAGAAATAAGTCTTTATCGTCTGCTGGATGTGGCTGATTTATCATGCATGCTTAGATTTTAAAGGTTGACAAAATTACCTTTTGTGATCCACTTAGGATGTTGTGACTGAAAACGAATTTGAGAAAAGGCTTCTAGCAGATGTTATCCCTCCCAATGATATTGGCGTGACATTCGATGATATCGGAGCACTGGAAAATATCAAGGATACATTGAAGGAGTTAGTGATGCTACCTTTACAGAGGCCTGAACTTTTCTGCAAGGGTCAATTGACCAAGGTTTTTCATCTTTTCTTTTGCCATAATTGCAGTTTTCATGTCCAAGGAGAGTTTAGGTTACAAGGCATCAAGGCATTTATTCGATATCTTGGGTGCATTTTAATTTCTTTCATTTCTTTGTACCTTTCTTTATTTTCCAAATGTTTCTTCTTAGACGTTCTAATTATGATTACTCTTGCTATTTTTTTCTCAGCTAGTGGTTCTTGTTTGTATTATATTGGTTCATGCATGTCACTTGCTCCTCTCCCGATATTGTATTCCATGTCATTATTAGATGAAGTACCTAGTGAATTCCACTTGTGAATATGGTATCATGGATAGGACTATGGCACATTTCCTTAGAACTGTTTGAATCTTGTTATCTGCTTGTAAATGATTTTTGGCCCCTTTCTAGGTTGACCATTTCTGCTCAAGGCACTGTAGATAATCAATGGTCACATTTACTGAGCTTGAATCTTCACATTTTTGGTATCCAAAGAATCTCTAACTTTCATTGTTTCTTTTGTAGCCCTGCAAAGGTATACTTTTATTTGGGCCCCCTGGAACTGGAAAGACCATGCTCGCAAAAGCTGTTGCCACTGAAGCTGGTGCAAACTTCATTAACATTTCTATGTCCAGCATTACTTCAAAGGTTATTTCAACTAGGAGCTTGTTTGACAATAATATGTATTATATGATTGGTCATTGAATCCTAACTAGCTTATCCCCGCCTCTTCTCTACTTTCGGTACTTGCAGTGGTTTGGTGAGGGTGAAAAATATGTGAAGGCTGTGTTCTCACTGGCTAGCAAAATAGCTCCGAGTGTTGTATTTGTTGATGAAGTATGATACACCTCTTATTCGATTACTATTTTTTTCTCCTTTTCAATCTTTACTTTCAATATCAGTTCTCTGAGGTCTGCGTCTGTATCTTCTAAGGTTGATAGCATGCTGGGACGGAGAGAGAACCCAGGAGAACATGAGGCCATGCGTAAAATGAAAAATGAGTTTATGGTGAATTGGGATGGGCTGCGAACAAAAGATACTGAACGCGTTTTGGTACTCGCTGCCACAAACAGGCCTTTCGACCTTGATGAGGCTGTGATAAGGCGGTTGCCGCGCAGGTCAAGCAGGACTAAGAATTATCTAAAACCCAATTATAATCACAAAGCATCTGTCATCTCTAATTTGGTGTTTCTGTTTTGTATTATCCGTAGATTGATGGTCAACTTACCAGATGCTGCTAATAGGGCAAAGATCCTAAAAGTAATATTAGCCAAAGAGGATTTGTCTTCCGATGTTGATCTGGATTCAATTGCAAGCATGACTGATGGGTATTCTGGAAGTGACCTAAAGGTTTGATTTTTGGGCTTATGTTGCACAACTTTATAGGATCAGCTCTTTATGCAAGCTAAATTCTTTTCATTGCAGAACTTATGCGTGACAGCTGCACATCGCCCAATCAGAGAGATTTTGGAAAAAGAGAGAAGGGTATGTTCCTATGTTTGGTTTGAGCAGTTGCTGCTAATTAATATTGAGAAAATCGAATAATTTTAGGTGTCAATCATAGAGGCAATGAGAAAATTAAAATCAGTTTCTGTGTCCCGTCTTTCATTTTTGGGGTTTCAGCAAGTAAAGTAATCGTCGTCACGTGTGGCCTATTTCTAAAGTTTCCAATCATGGTTTCTCTAAGGGCCTGTGGCACGGCTTTTGAAAAACCAAAAGCTGCTTTTGGACCTACTTGAATAATTTATTGGAAGTTCTTTGGTAGTTAGAAGAGCTTTTACAGGAAGCTGACTCAAGGTGGCTTCCTCACGAAGCTCTTCTATGGGAAGCTGAAGTAAAAGAATTCCTGCCAAATGGGCCTTAATTACCAACTATTGTGGTTTTTCTGAGCATTTTAGCATATGTCACGATCTTTAGTTTCGTTAACTAACTATATACTTCTGGTGCTAATGTCAGGAGCAAGCCGCTGCTCTTGCTGAAGGTAAACCACCACCAGCCTTGTGTGGGAGCGCTGATATTCGGCCATTAATCACGGATGACTTCAGATTTGCTCATGAGCAGGTGTGAAGATATTCTCAAGAATTATACGTAATATTCTATTTATCTAGGTGATCTATATACACTAAACTTTCAAAATTTCATTTTCCTCTCATGGGTGCAGGTTTGTGCAAGTGTTTCATCAGAGTCCGTAAACATGACCGAACTTCTCCAATGGAACGAACTTTATGGAGAAGGGGGCTCCAGACGGAAGAAATCCCTTAGCTACTTCATGTAAATCCATGTATTCATCTGTACAAATCCTTCCCGTGCGCTGCAATGACTTGCATTATACAATGATGCATAGGTTTTTAAGTTATACTCGTTTCTTAGTTTTTCGAGATGGTATAAGGGTAGAATCGCTTCTCAAGTCAATTCACGGCTTATCTGCCTTTGTTTTGTTACTCCATCTCGGTTCCTTCAAATAGGAAGTTTAAGTTATCGATAGTGCAAATGTCAAAGAAAAAATATCCGACCCCCTGCATATATTTGTTGCTGTTCTTCATTACTATTTTTGAATTCGAGAAATAAGCAATGCCAAATGCCAATTATGGTTTTAGTTCCTGCATTTCATTTAAGCTTTACTTTGCTGGTGTATGTTTGTGTGGCTGGGTGCTGATAAGATATAGGTCCTACAAAATATGTAGATACAAAATATGTTTGACCAGTTCAATTAAAGTTTATCAAACCAAAACATGCTTTATGAAGCATGTTTTGGCACAGTTTAAATTTTAATTTAAGTCGGTCAAATATACTTTTTATATACACAGTAGGACCATGTTTCAATACCACACAAAGGTTTCAAGACATTTTATTACATGCTAAGCTAAACTTGGTTTGATTTGTTTGATGACGTGTCCTAATTCACCTCTGACATTGAGGTGAAACATAACTTTTTTTTTTCATATATATTATATAAGCAACTTTTTTTTGTTTAATGACGTGTCCTAATTCACCTCTGCCACGTTTTAAGATCTTCTGTACACAAATTTTTAGATCAAGATTTAAAGCAACTGTGAAATTTGAGTTGGGTTTCTCCTCCCATGTGCCAATCTACTTGGAAAGTGGGCCTTTTAGGCCTCAAACCAAAATGCCGAACATTTCTATTGCGCTTTTGCTAAAATTCATTACTCCGAAAGATATTGTAGAATTATATTAGATATTTAGCCCCTGTTTGTTGCAGATTAAATCAGATTTTTGATAGATTTTGATAAAAGTTGATGGAATGTGTGGTTGAAAAGTTGTGGGTCCCATGAAATGTATGGTTAAAATTAATTATTGACTTTGACTTGAGATTAAAATCAGATTTTAATTTATACCAAACAGGGGCTTAATGATGTGTTTTGTATCTTTCTGAAAAATCGATCCTCAATCCCGATCAACATTGTCTAACCACCCCGACCCTGCCCCTCCCATATGTTGAAGTCTATTATTAAACCGAAAGGTATGCACTTTGTGAAAACAAGTGGGTACCTCGAAGAAACTAGAGGCATCATTTAGGGGAAATTTTGGACCACATGAAAAAAATTAAAGATACTTTTTATTTCTTTTTTGCAAATATTTTGACCCTAAAATAAGTTTTATGTATATGATTATGGTACTATAATTTTCATTTCTTGGAAAAATTACGAAAAGTGTGGAGAGTAAGGTACTTCCCATTTTCATACAAGTGAAAGAAAGTATAAACATTTACGGACAGTAAATCATCTCTTTATTTAAAAGTTTAAGCTACTCTAATCTTTAAAGAACTTTTCAAGTAAAAAAAATCGTACTAAAAGATTCCATTCTAGACTGAACATGTACCATTTTGGTGAATTATATGATGAGAGAATTAAAGTCAATTATCTCAATGATTGTCACTTCCTTGGTAACCTGCCAAACTCAATTCATTGGATCATTCAAGGGCTTGAACCATGGGGCTCATGATGGCAATCATGTAAGTTTCTATATAATTTCACACGACACGAAAAGTATGCATTAACCACCGCAATAAATTTAGAGTCGACTACAATAATCATTTTTCGTCACTCCACTTATTGCTAAATTCAAATATAGGGTAACTCGATTCAGCAAACTAAGCCCTTTAATTTAGAGTCGACTATATAAATCTTTTTCACCACTCCATCCAGTTTATTGCTTAGATTATTAAAAGATCTAGAGCAACTAGATTCTTTAACTCGACATATATGCACCAACAACATAAACTAAGTCATTCTCTTAATAAATTTAGAGTTGACTTCGTGAATCTTTCTTCGCCCCTTCTCTTAATCCATTGCTAGATTATTGAAAGATCTAGAGCAATTACATTTAAAAAAAAAAAAATACTTATATAGAGACCTTCCTTTCTTCAATTTCACAAGCCTCCTTCACCACCTTAGCCACTCCATCTTTGTCCTTTTATTTCATCACTCAATGGAAGAATCCCATAAAGAGTTACAACTACTTTCCACGCCACACACTGCAGCTTCTTCATCAGCACGGCCACCATATTCTTCTACGAAACTCCGATCAACTGATCGTTTTCAGGGTCCATCAACACTAGACCTTCAACTGTCAATAAGTGTTTCTCCATTCAAACCACCTTCAGATAGTGTTCTAATAAGAAAAGTTAACCAGAAGTCGATTTCTAGCCCTGTCGAGGCGTTGAAATGGCATTCAGCCGAGCAAATTCGCTTAGCAGCAATGGAGGAGGCTTATGCAGAGCGTGTGAGAGAGCATACAAGGAGGGAAATGGAGTTAGCACAGTCTGAATTTGCACTTGCACGTAGCCTGTGGGATCGTGCTAGGGAAGAGATAGAGAGAGCCGAGAAAATGAAGGAAAGGGCCACTCAACGGTTAGATTCAACAAGCATGGAAATCACTTGCCAGTCTTGCTGGCAAATGTTTAAACCTTAAAGTATATGCTAGTTACTTAGCCACTTGAATTTTACTTTATAGTTCCAGCGTGATTGGCAACGAACAGTACTTAACAATATTGAATAAGGAAAAGAAATCAAAGTCTCGTGTTGGGTGCTATCCACTCATATCGGTACTAAATACCAAACATGCCATTCGAGTTTTGGAAACTTGGATTTGAACATATAGAGAAAGGAGACAACTAAATTAGTTGGATTGGAATATCAAGTTTCTGTATGATGAATAGTTTGCTGAATCTTTATTTCTTGGATTGATTAATAATTATCATTTTTTAGACAAAACTTATGTTATTATACATGTAGAAGAACAAGAAAAATGTACTTCATGGAAGCCTTTTAAGATTGTATTTATTTAGCCCCCATTTGACACCCATTTTTTTCTCATTCTCATTCTCATTATTTTTCTCTTTCTTCATTTCAACCACACATTCTATCAATAAAATAATATTACACATAACCTAAAAATTCTCCTTACTTTTTAACCACACATTCTTCCATCAATCACTATTCAAAAATACATTTTTCTACTAAAATGGGTGTCGAACACCCCCTTAATATCCCTTTGTTTTACTTTTTCTTCAGTCCACCCCCCCTCCCCAATTTAGCTAATAAAAGAACTTGACAATAAGCTTGTTCGACCTTCGCTTTACTGGTTTTCTTGATGAATTTTTTCTTTGCACTAAAGAAGCACTCTTGAGCTAGGAATGATCAAAGAGACATATTCATAGTCATACGACTCATACCACTAGAGTTCATATTACGTGTGATTTTTGCAGCTCGAAACCCTCTCCGAGTGAGTACTTTAACATTCTTTATATGCAACTACTTCTAGGGAGACTTTTTGAAAACGGCAATCTGGGAAGGCCATTTCTATTACAATACTGGTTTCGCGGGATCATTCAGTTGGAAAATTGGGTTGGAAGTCCATTTGAAAAGGAGTTGATTGTATCGACTGCTTTCGAGTCCATATCGTCCATAAAAAGTCCGCCTTGTGGGCTTATAAGTACAGTTAAAACTGAAGAAATTATTAGGCTGAGAATTGACAGACTCTTAACTTCTTATGATATGGCCATTGTCAAGTATTACAGTAGAGAGAATGAAGAATTGAATTGGAGGATATTATTCATCTCAAACTAAAAATGGAACTATCAATACAATAAAAAGACAAAGATAAAATGGCGGGAAAATGCAGGTGGGAAAATCCAGCTGGCCAACAAACTATCCAGCTAGTAAACTAACTTTCAACTCTCCTGTACAATGGTCATAATACGCCCCCTCAAGATGTGCTATAAACATTCTTTACGCACATCTTGGCCATCAACGGATTGAGTGTTGAAGCAGGTAATGCCTTAGTGAATACATCAGCTAGCTGGTTCTGTGACCTGATTGGAAGTAAATTGACTGCCCCATATACGATCTTATCTTGAATGAAGTGGCAATCTATTTCTATATGTTTCGTCCGCTCGTGGAAAATTGGATTATTGGCAATCCGAATAACAGCAAGATTATCACAATATATCATAGCAAGATAGTTATCAACAACCTGGAAATCTGTCAACAATTGCTTAATCCATATAATTTCACTCGTAGTGGCTGGAAGAGCTCTATACTCTGCTTCAGTAGATGAACATGAAATGGTAGATTGGCGTTTAGATTTCCAAGCAACCAATGAATCACAAACGAATATGCAAAACCTGGTAATAGACTTCCTGGTGTCAATGCACGATCCACAGTCAGCATCAGAAAAAGCTCGAATTTTGATAGGCGTAACATGAGCTGAAGAGAAATAAATTCCTTGGCCAACACTTCCCTTCAAATAGCGAAGCAAATGGTGGACAGCTTTGAGATGAGGAAGCCTTGGCTGAGACATATACTAACTTAACTTGTGAACTGTCTGTGATGTCTGGCCTAGTAAGGGTTAAATATATTAACCTTCCAATCAACTTTCTGTAGTGTAATGCATCTGGTAATAAATCCCCTTCATGTAAGCTGAGCTTAATTCTTGAATCCATTGGACTGTTCGTAGGTTTACAGTCTAAATAGCCTGCATCTTCGGTTAACTGCAAAGTGTAATTCCTTTGTGAGATAACAATGCCTGAAGTAGCTCAAGCGATCTCAATCCCCAAGAAATATTTTAAAACTCCAAAGTCCTTCAGTTTGAACTGGGAATTCAAAAACTCCTTTAATTCGTTGATCACTTGTATGTTTGGTCCAGTGATGACTATGTCATCTACATAAACCAATAACCTTATAAAATTGTGTCCTCAACCTTTCGTGAATAGAGTAATCAGCCTTGGATTGAGTAAATCCATATTGAATGAGAGCAATAGAAAACTTTGAATTCCATTGCCTCAAACCTTGCTTGAGACCATACAGCGATTTGTTCAGTTTACATACCAATTGCACCCCCTGTTTGAGAGGTTTATAAAGATCATAACCAAGATGTAAGTCCATATAAACCTCCTCAAACAAGTCCCCATTTAGGAAGGCGTTATTTACATCAAGCTGAATTAAATTCCACTGCTGAGAGGCTGCTAAGGTGAGTAGAACTTTAACAGTAACAGCCTTAGCAACTGGTGAAAAAGTGTCAAAATAGTCCAAGCTTTCTTGTTGAGTAAAACCCTTGGCAACAAGATGTGCCTTGTGTCATTCCAAAGTGTCATCAGAATTATACTTATTCTTGAAAACCCATTTGCATCCTACTGAATGTTTACCAACAGGTAAAGGAATAATTGACCAAGTATTATTTTGTTCTAAAGCCTCTAATTCATTCTTCATAGCATCTCGCCACTGAGGGAATTTTACTGCATGATGGAAGTACTGGGTTTCAAAATGAGAGAAGATATTCATAGCAAGATTTTTATATGAGGAAGAAAGATTATTATAAGAGATGAAGTGACCATTGTGATTAGGAGGGAAAGAGGAATGTTTGGAATGATGACAGTGGAAATCTCTGAGATGATATGGATGCCTAGATATTCTACGTGATTTGCAAATGGTAGAAGAAGAGGCCATATTGGACTGAGGGTCTTCAATGATGGTGGGAATAGAGAGTGGTAGTGCAGGAATTGGAGATGAAGTGTCAGAAATAGAAAAAGGAATAATAGGATCATCAGGACTGATAGCAGAAGCAGGTAGGTGAATAGAAGACACATCTTGTGGAATTGATAAAGAAGAAGAAGGCAAAACAAGATCAGGAAAATGATCGGATAAGTCATGATTCTCAGTAACAGAGTGGAAGGGGAATATGTCTTCGTAGAATAAGACATCCCTAGAGATGAATATTTGTTTGGAGATAACATTAAGAAGTTTGAAACCTTTAACTCCTGAGGGATAGCCCAAGAAGACACACATTCTAGCCCTAGGTTGAAATTTTGTTCTATGGGCATTGAGTGTCGAAGCAAAGGCCAGACAACCAAAAACTTTGAGGTAGGAGTAGTCTATCATGTAACCATATAGTAGCTCAAATGGAGTTTTGTGATGTAGAAATGGAACATGTGTTCTATTGATTAAGTGCACTGCAATGAGTACACACTCTGACCAAAAACGAATGAGGATTCTGGACTGAAAGAAGAGAGCACGGGCCACATTGAGGATGTGCTGATGCTTGCGTTCAACAACAGAGTTTTGCTGTGGCCTTTCCACACAGCTGAATTGATGAAGAACCCCTTTCTTAGTAAAGAAATCTTTGAATGAGAGTTCATTCGCATTATCAGATCTGAAGGTTTTAATTGTAGCGTTCAACTGTGTGGCAACAAAATTGAAAAATTGCCTTACAATTAGGATAACATCAGATTTCTGCTAGAGCATAAAGATCCAAGTGAATCTAGAATGATCTTCTACCAGTGTCAAAAAATACTTGTAGTCTGAGTGGGAAATCACGTGATATGGACCCTATATATCACAATGCACAAGTACAAAAAGTTTAATGGAAATGTTATTATGTAAATCAAAGGGCAATCTCCTTTGTTTTGCTAAAGGACAAATGTAGCAAGGCAAATGTTTGTTGGAAACTTCAGAATTAAAAAGCAACTGATCCTTCACTATGTCTAACCTTTTGAATGAAAGGTGTCCAAGTCTATTGTGCCACACACAGGCAGAAACTGAATTAACAAAAAAATTAGAAGCAGAAGTAAAGTTTTTGGCATCCAGCACATATAAGCCCTACATGATGTTACCCCTGCCAATCATCTTCTTGGTGGAAACTTCCTGGAGTATGAACTGATCATGGAAAAATTGCACACTAAAATGAGATCAAATAGTTAATGAACTCACTGACAACAAATTGAACTTGAATTGGGGTACAAACAACACATCGTGTCAGGTCCTAATTGCACATCACCACATAGGCTGACTGGTATACATGTGTGATCAGGTAAGGTTATGTTTGAGTTGGTAATAGGCTTCAGGTTTATGAATGCAGAGGCAATGGAACATACATGTCTGGAGGCACCTGAGTCCACAATCTATATATCCTTTGAGGTAAATATTTGTTTAACAGACTGTGACTTATATATACCTGCAGCATATGTTGATGCAGCCTTGTCCTGATCAGTAGAAATGGATTGTGACATGGAAGCCAGGTGAGTACATAGCATTGTCATCAAGTCCTGGTATTGATTATGGTTCAGATTCTGCATAAACTTGTCAACGCCAGATTGCTGATCCATAGTTTTATCTTGTATATGTGAATGAACAGAAACTTGATTAACATTGTTAGGTTTGGAAAAATTTTGGAAATTATTCCTTGGTCTAGACTTGAATCCAGTGGGAAAACCATGAGTTTTGTAACACTTGTCGAGAGAATGCCCGCGATACTTGCAATTTGTAAAATATGGACTATCAATCTTCCTATAACCAGATCCAGTCTGAGAATTATAGGTAAAATTTCCTCTGCCATTATCAAATGGAAAGGCAAAGGCAGCTCCTCCATCTGAATCAGCAGTAATGGAGGATGAGTGCATTTTCCTTTGGTTTTCC